ACCAGCGGCGCAGCCGCATTTGGAGAGGGTTTTTTTCCATTGACACGTCTCACACGTGCGCACATAGGTGCTCGTCCATTTGTACAGCTTATGCCACCAATAGAGGTGACTCACAAAGTTGTACGTTTTCTCACGATCGAGATGGCACTGAGTGGCGTGTCATGAGCCTCAAATTCTCATCATGAGGAACCACAATTCGCGCTGTATCCGTTGATTCGGTGGTATAATATAACAAGTCGTTATTAAACGAATATCGGTGCAATCGTGCACGCAATCTTGATGACAATTTCCTGTCCGAGTCTCCAAACTCCTTGATTCCGAGAGCACGTAGCAGCGCTACACACATCAAATCATCCGTGTTCGCGTTGCGGATCAAATCCGTCACAGACGAAGTTGCAGTTGTAACATGAGCAAGCTCATAGTCTGGTCTGCGTGACAATGCATCAGCCAAAGCATTCTGCTTTCTCGGTTTATACTTCACCTCGAAGTTATATTCCGCAAAGAAGGATAGTGATCTAGTCATCTTCTGAAAGAGGTGGGGCGACTGAGTCGCAGTGTGTAATGAAGCATGATATGTATAGATCACAAACGGCTTGGAGCCGAGCAGGTGGAACCTGAACTTGGTAAGTGCATACTTCATCGCAAGTAGCTCCCTGTCGTGAGTTGCTCCTCTCTGTAGCTTTAAGCCGTCGAGATTCGAATGCGATCACCCGATCTCGCCTCTCGGCGTCTGCTTGCAGCAGTGCACAGCCGATGGCAAAGTCCGAGACGTCACAGACGCCGCTGAAAGAACGATGAGGGTCTGGCAACGCCAGTATTGGTGCACGCAGGAGGCTGTCCTTGACTCCGTCAAAAGCCTCCTGATGTTCGGATTCCAACACCATTCCTCATCCTTTTGAGGGAGATTAGATAATGGCCGGGCCGTTTCTGCGTAATTCACGCAATGTTGTGCAAGTAATTGGCGAGACCAAGCCACTTACGCAAGTCCTTCTGATTCTTTGGAACCGGCCAGTCTACAATGGCCTTGACCTAAGCGGGATCCGCTCGAAGGCCATGCTTCCCAATGAAGAACCCTAAAAGAGAATCTCTTCTGCGCCAAAGATGCACTTGTCTGTATTGGCGTTTAGTTTGTTCGTGCGCATGCACTCGAGCACAGCTCTTAAATGAACGACGTGGTTCTCCGCATCCGTCGTCCCGTGCTCCGCACGACTGTGAACGAAAATGTTGTCAAAGTATGTCTGTGCATGCGCCGTGTGGAACCTGAACAACTGCGTCACAAGACGATTAAATGTTGCTGGTGCATTGACAGCCCTTGGGGCATCACCAGCCACTCTCAGAGCATGCCGCTCGGAGTGCTCACTGCTGTCAGCGGAATATCACTCGCTCTCATGAGCAAGTGGTAATACCCATCGACCAAGTCAAGTGCACTGTACTTCGTACATCCCACCATGTTATTTCGAAGAACACCCTTTCTAGGAGTCGGCGTCTGTGCCGAAATGGTGGCAGCGTTGTGCTTATTGTAAGCATGAACTATACACCACTTGCCGTTCGGCTTCCGAACACAAAACGTGGGTGTCGAATGGGGAGACT